GACAAAACTTTTCGACGGTTATAAACAAAAAAATCATGATTTAACGGTTATTTTAACTCTGATTTTGGTGATTTTTTACAGCTACACTTCTGGTTCCTATATGAATGCAAGTAACTAATTCGATCGTCAATTTAAAATATTTACACAAGTGGATACCACAAAATCTTATGTTATACTTGATGAAAGTATAAATAAAATCCAAGTGTTAGGGAATCTATCGTTTTAATGGGATACGCATTGTACGAAACTAGTTTCAACGATCCAACCGTCAAACTTGTTTGCATATGCTTCGAGATCGTATACACCAAAAATGGCAAAAAAAAAACCTTCAAAGATTAAGTAACAGAACAAAACTTTTTGACGGTTATAAACGAAAAAATCACAATTTAACGGTTTGTTTAACTCCGATTTTGATGATTTTTTACAACTACACTCCTGGATTCTATATGAATACAAGGAACTGATTCGATCATCAATTTAAAATATTTACACAAGTGGATACCACAAAATCTTATGTTATACTTGATGAAAGTATAAATAAAATCCAAAGTGTTAGGGAATATATCGCTTTAATGGGATACGCATTGTACGAAACTAGTTTCAACGATCCAACCGTCAAACTTGTTTGTATATGCGTCGAGATCGTATACACCAAAAATGGCAAAAAAAAAACCTTCAGAGGTTAAGTAACGGGACAAAACTTTTCGACGGTTATAAACAAAAAAATCACGATTTAACGGTTATTTTAACTCTGATTTTGATGATTTTTTACAGCTACACTTATGGATCCTATATGAATACAAGGAACTGATTTGATCATCAATTCAAAATATTTACACAAGTGGATACCACAAAATCTTATGTTATACTTGATGAAAGTAAGAATAAAATCTAAATGTTAGGGAATCTATCGTTTTAATGGAATACGCATTGTACGAAACTAGTTTCAATGATCCAACCGTCAAACTTGTTTGTATATGCTTCAAGATCTTATACGCCAAAAATGGAAAAAAACAAACCTTCAGAGATCAAGTAACGGGACAAAAATTTTCGACCGTTATAAAAAAAAATCACGATTTAACGGTTATTTTAACTCCGATTTTGATGATTTTTTACAGCTACACTTATGGATCCTATATGAATACAAGGAACTAATTTGATCGTCAATTCAAAATATTTACACAAGTGGATACCACAAAATCTTATGTTATACTTGATGAAAGTATAAATAAAATCTAAATGTTAGGGAATCTATCGTTTTAATGGGATACGCATTGTATGAAACTAGTTTCAACGATCCAACCGTCAAACTTGTTTGTATATGCTTCAAGATCTTATACGCCAAAAATGGCAAAAAACAAACCTTCAGAGATCAAGTACCAGGACAAAATGTTTCGACGGTCATAAACGAAAAAATCATAATTTAACGGTTATTTTAACTCCGATTTTAATGATTTTTTACAGCTACACTCTTGGATCCTATATGAATACAAGGAACTAATTCGATCGTCAATTTAAAACATTTACACAAGTGAATACCACAAAAGAAAAAGGCAATGCAAGAACCCCAAAAGAAAAGCAAAAGGAAAAAAAAAAAAAAAAAAAACGTCGCGCAAAGCATCTTGCGCGACGTAGGTATTCGTCGCGCAAAGATATTTTGCGCGACGCATGTGTACCTACGTCGCGCAAAGTTTGTTTTTTTTTTTTCTACATTCCACAATTTTAACTTCTTGTTTACCCCTTCCACTTTTGCCTTAAAATTATTTTTTATTAAGGACCTAAATGATGAGACCACGTGTTCTAAATGGTAAATGGTAGAGACTACACCTAAAATGATTACTAACCACGTAATAGAATAGTGGTTTGACAAAGCTGTAAACTGGCAATTTGTAGTTTCCTCCTCCCAATTTGGTGAGAAATGAAATCTATCCATTTTTTAGCACACATCAATCTATCCCTAAATTAGATCAAATTAACTGAGCAATTTGCAATTTCTTAGCTTTTGTTTCCCTAAACCTATCAAAATCCTTCATACTCTTAGTCATTCATTCCACTCATTCAATTGTTCAAAACCATAACTCAACTTGTCAAAAATAAGCATTGACAAAGATAATTAAAGAAAAACATAAATACACAAAAAAAAAAAATTCCAAACATACATGTAATCAATAAATAGTTAATTAATTAATCAAATAAATACAATACCTGAAGGTGAAGATGGTGAGGGTTGAGAGAGATGGAGGGTCTGAAAGAGGGAGGTTGAGTGTGAAGAAAAAGGCTCTTGTGTGTGGTTATTTTATAAAAAAAAAAGTCGTCGACTTTGCGCGACGCCACATACGTCGCGTAAAAGCAGCTTCGGCGCCAAAATCTTGGTTGAGATTCTTGGTTTGGCGGCAAAATCTTGCGCGACGCACAAAACGTCGCGCAAACGGCTTTTGTGCGACGATACTTTGCACGACAAAGGCTTGCGTCGCGCAAATATGTTTTGCGTGACGTAGATGTACCTTCGTCGCGCAAAGATGTTTTGCGCGACGCAAGCCTTTGTCGCGCAAAGTGTCGTCGCGCAAAAGCCGTTTGCGCGACGTTTTGTGTTTAGCGTCGCGCAAACATACTTTGCGCGACGAAATTTGTTGCGTCGCGCAAGGTTCCGTCGCGCAAACATGTTTTTGTACTAGTGTGGTACTAAATGACATTAATCATATTAAAATAGTGAAAAATCCTCTTTTAGTTTTTAAATGCCCCCAAGTTGCATGTATTTGATTAATTAGTATAGATGAGCATTAGATTGTCAATACAACAATTAAAGACAAAATTAGACAATAGAAGAATAAAATTAGGCATTTTGTAACTAATTTTTTCAGAATTCGTAAAAAAACTAACTTTATTTGCTCAAAAGTGGAGCTTAAATTTTTTAAGGTTCCCTTTATTAGTTAAATTTCTGGCTCCATCCCTATCTAGTAACTTAACTCTGTATTTTCTTTTTTATTATTTTCAATCGTCATGCCAAATACTTGTTATTGAAGGAATGCATCCGACAATGCTTCAAATAGAAAAAGTAAATTGTCGTAATGAAGGAGGACTACTTTTCTCAAATTATATCAATGTCTTGTAAGATAGAAGTTTACAAGTGACAGTATACATGATTAGAGAGGAGTTAAGAAGATGTATTCTAAAACAAGTGGTATCAGAACTCGGTTCAAATTTTAATTTAGTTTTATATATTAGTAGTAGGAATTAAGCACTCAGAAGTTTTCTATCAAAGCAGCGACGGTTGGTGACTTTGTGGGAAGTGAGACCAAAAGGAAGTCATACATCCATACACTGAATGTTATTAACAAAGGGCGTGGGTAGGCACATGCATGGGCATGGCTAGCTGAGACTGAAAGGAGGTTGGCAAATGGTTAGGTGAAGATCACGTGACGCAATTTCCGCCTACAAATCGCCTTACTTATCTGGTATTTCAATGGTCATCCCTACTTTAAACAAAGATCACAAGTTACACGTCATTGACTTAAGAATTAAAAAGAGAAAAAAGAAATAATGTGTATTTTTGCTCAACACCCTCAAATGGTAGTAATACATATTATCTTACTTATTACCATTGGATGAGTTTAAATTTTAAGATTTATGTCTATTTACTACATATATCTTGAAATTTAAACTCTTCTAATAGTGATAAATAGAGTGATGGGCAAAAATATTTTCCGTAATGAAGTGTCTTGGTGGTTAAGGTTTTAATATTCAACTCATTGTTTTTCAAGTTCCAGTGAGTAATTAGTCAACTAACAATCAACTGACCAAGTATGTAACATTCAAAGTTGTTTGGTAACATTTTTATTTTTAACCCAACCAACATTAATAGACACGTTAGATCTTCACTTCTTGTAATTAACTCATCATTAAACATTGTGGATTGTTTGATACGTTTTTGCTTTTCAATTGAGTAATTTCGTTCTTAATTCTTTTAATTGTAAGTTATGTTACTATTCTAAGTTATAATAAGAACATCATGATATTTGACCTTGCAGCAATTCACGACTTGTATTTTCGTTCTTATTTTAAAAACCATTCTATGTGTTCTTCCTTTTTATTTTTTTGGTTGAGAAAATATATATTCTTTGTAAATTGTTTTTTATGCGAGGCAATGAATATAGGGTTCAATATTAATGACTGAATTTATTTGTTATAATATGAATACATTAGTTACCCCATATGACCATGTAACCGTCTGAAAACTCTTCGTTTCTCATATCTATTATCCTTTTTATCTCCTTCTTCATTCTCATTCATCAATCCTAAAACAGAAAGAAAAAAAATCACTTGCCTATGGGATTGAAGCTTCTTAGTCAGTGTGATATTTTGTTTTAATCAAACATATTAATTTCAATAAATAAAAACTAATACAAGGTTAGGAAAGTCCAAAGACAATCTAGAATGTAACCAAGCAAAAGTACAACCCAATAGATGCTAGAGAGATTATCTACTTAAACAATTTTTTTTGTAGATAACATGATGTGGCGGTTGATGGTTAGATTTAGAATTCAACAGTAACCATCACATAATTAATGGGCTCCCTAGAATGTTTTGAAAAATATATCAATCTAAAACATGGATGGATGCAAGTGGCTCTTTTCCACAGTGATAAAAATGTGTTCAATCCTTGCATGACAGTATGAGTTCAAACCCTGTATCTAACAAAATTTATCGTTTGACAAAAAAAAAACATAGATGAATACATGTCACCGCCATAATACGAGCATTTAATAATTATCAATAAAAGATTGTGACATAATATTTCGGTTTCTAGAAGCCAAAAAACAAAGTGGTAGCTGTGAGTCTTAATTATGAATGTAGGTGACCCCACGAGCCATGAGGTAGCTGTAGCGAACCCAACCATAGATATATATTTACCCTTTAAATTCGACACCAAAACAAACACAAAACGTATTTCGTTTGAGCCAATACCAAGTAGACAGAACCAATAAATTCGACACCAAAATATGGCTCCTGCTACTACTACGCTCACATCCATAGCGCATGAGAAAACCCTACAACAAAAATTTGTCCGAGACGAAGACGAGCGTCCAAAGGTTGCCTACAACGACTTCAGCAACGAAATTCCGATCATCTCGCTTGCCGGGATTGATGAGGTGGAAGGCCGCCGGGGCGAGATTTGCAAGAAGATTGTAGCGGCTTGTGAGGACTGGGGTATTTTCCAGATTGTTGACCATGGGGTTGATGTTGAGCTCATATCGGAAATGACCGGTCTCGCTAGAGAGTTCTTTGCTTTGCCATCGGAGGAGAAGCTCCGCTTCGACATGTCCGGTGGCAAAAAGGGTGGCTTCATCGTGTCCAGTCATTTACAGGTGATCACAATGCTATATATAGGAAGTCGAAATCTCAGGATCTTTTGTTCTGATACTAAAATAAACTTTGTTAATTTATTACTATTTTTAGATATAAGCTATTAAAATTTATTTACTAGCTATTACTTCAGTAATATTATCTATAGTTTACTAAATGTTTGACGGACTGTAAATTTAGGGAGAAGCTGTGCAAGATTGGCGTGAAATTGTGACCTACTTTTCATATCCGATTCGTCACCGGGACTATTCGAGGTGGCCAGACAAGCCTGAGGCCTGGAGGGAGGTGACAAAGAAGTACAGTGACGAGTTGATGGGGCTGGCATGCAAGCTCTTGGGGGTTTTATCAGAAGCCATGGGGTTGGATACAGAGGCATTGACAAAGGCATGTGTGGACATGGACCAAAAAGTCGTCGTGAATTTCTACCCAAAATGCCCTCAGCCCGACCTAACCCTTGGCCTCAAGCGCCACACCGACCCGGGCACAATTACCCTTCTGCTTCAAGACCAAGTTGGGGGCCTCCAGGCTACACGGGATGATGGGAAAACGTGGATCACCGTTCAACCAGTGGAAGGAGCTTTTGTGGTCAATCTTGGAGATCATGGTCATGTGAGTAAATACTACACAATTTTAGAATTAAACTTAGCAATTTACAAATACTTTTTTTAGCTCGAACAATAACAGTTTTATTAGAACGTTACAAAGTTGGTGCATAAATAAAATTACATTTATAAACATTTGTTAGCATGGTAATTGTTTAAAAGTCGTACATAATGGAATTATATTATCTTTATACATTTTTCAGTTTTTTTTGTTTGTTAAAATTATAGATGTGCTCGCGTGTCTTTTAAAAAACTAAATAAAATGGGTATATTCATATGACGATGGTGGTGGGCAAATGTCATTTTCTTCATGTGAATAAGCAAGATAGGGACGTATATATATTTGTTTAGTATTATTATGTATTTGATTTCTATTTTATTATTCATATATTTAATAATTGGTTGAAATTTGGTGGAGCTATTGATTATTATTTATAAGTTATTAAAGAAATTAAAAACCAGTAAAAAGTTGAGTAAATAACTAGTTATACGGGGTTTTCTCTAGTAAATAACAACGCACATTTTATCCATCACCTGCAGTGCGCTGTTGGCAATTGACATTGAATCTCACATTTATATGTTGAGCGTGAGATTCATGGTGCATTAATAATCAGGATTTACTCACACGCGGATGAACGTAACACTAAGGTTTAGCATGAAACGAAAAATAAAATAGGGGTTTGAGTCAATTGAACTGATTGAATTACTATGCCTAATTGTTTGAGCAGCTTCTGAGCAATGGGAGGTTCAAGAATGCTGATCACCAAGCAGTGGTGAACTCAAACAGCAGCAGGCTGTCCATAGCCACATTCCAGAACCCAGCGCAAGAAGCAATAGTGTATCCACTCAGTGTGAGGGAGGGAGAGAAGCCGATTCTCGAGGCGCCAATCACCTACACCGAGATGTACAAGAAGAAGATGAGCAAGGATCTTGAGCTTGCCAGGCTGAAAAAACTGTCCAAGGAACAGCAACTGCAGGACTTGGAGAAAGCCAAAGTGGATACAAAGCCAGTGGACGACATTTTTGCTTAGACTTCTCCAGTCACTTCAAAGCTCTTTGTGGAACTATAGCTACTTTTACCTTTTCCTCCCACTTCTTGTACTCGTAACTTCGCTTTGGTTTGTGCGTGGCTTCCCCTCCAATCTGTTTAGCATTCGTGGTAGTAAAGGGCCCCTGAACTTATATCCCATATTTAGTTTTTGTTCTTGAATTTTCATATTAGTTTCTTATCCTCCAACTTAACTCTGTGTTGCATGAATGATCTTTCTGTCAAATCTGCCATTTTTCCGTCAAATTTTAGGGTATATTGGTCTTTTCCTACATAAAAAAAATGTAACATTTATGAAAAAAAATAATAATAAGAGCTTGGCTCCTCAAGGTTAAGGAGGAGTTCCTCCTTGACACACCTTGACCTAGAACGTCCACCTGGACTCCGAACCGAGCTGTGATGGCCGACACCTGAAGGGTGATGAAGCCATAAAGTGTGGTGATATAGAAATGTGAATAAATTTACACCTAAAAGTGTCTAAATACAAGAGTGCGCTGTGAGCGGAAATGAACCCAATTCACACGTGATGACAGAGCATAAGTACAGTACAGTAAAACAAGTTGAGAAATTATACCATCGAAGGTAACCGTCTACCCCAAGATTTGCCAGGAATCTTCGTCGATATGAAAGCTCAGCTACTAAAACCTAGAGGGGTGAAAAACAAGGGTGAGTGGGCTTGGAAATAAAGTTTTAATAAAAACCTTTGGAAACATTATAATCCCTCGCCGTAAAACATGTATAGTTTCCAAAATATACATACTACGTATAGTATGAAAATATTTACCGTAGCCTGCAAAACGTAAATAAGGCATGACATCCCAAAATTACAAAACCTCAACAGTAACATACGTAAAATCATGTGCTCAACAAACTATGCTAGCACACGAGTTGGAGTCGCCTAATGCGACCCGTACGACAGGACTGGGTGTAATCATAATATACGCTCTAGTGCTACGATCACATGAAGATTGACGATTATTGCGGTTACCTACGAGTCGGAATCGCCTAATGTGACTTGTACAACAAGAATGACACCTACTTGGATCCAAGGCGAACATGTGGTACAGAGGTGAGCATACATGTGAAAGACTGACTCTGGCCCTAGGCGAGCACTAACACCCAGGTGCAGCAATGATGAGCAGACTTCATAAATATAAGCATGCCATAATAATTCAATAATTCTAATCAACATAATAAACTTACATGTGCATCCCGTAGGATTATTTTGGCATTTCACAACAGTGCAACATTTCTTATAACGTTATTTAATCATGGCATCAAAGATTATAAGCATACATATGCATCCCGTAGGATTTATGATATCTTCATAATTTTTCGTTATTTCACTAATTCTTATAAACTTTAGCCTAAACCAGGCGTACGTAAGAATTTTTTTTCCAAATGCATAAATGGAAACTATCAATCATATATATAAAATATAAAAAAAGAAAAGACCCACTCACCTGAAGTCCACGTTATAACTCCCTAGCACAAATATCAAGGTGTCACTAACGATCGTCGCCTAGAACAAATATCAAATCATGTCTCATAATTCTTATTGATAGAACATGTAACTTACATAAAACACATCCCCAATGACGTTCTAAAATGATTTGAAACCCATTGACCAAAAGTCAATCGTCGGTCGAATGTCGATAGTAGGGCCCACAACCCTACGTAACTCAAACCGGAAGATCCGCACCTCGGATTTCTGATCCGAAACTTCCAAAGATCTAAATTATACTCTAGAACAACATACTAAAATTTCATTACGATCCAACAGTTGGATCTCCACCAACTGCAAATTCAAGTGGCGGTCAACGTTTTAGATTTACAAACTTAGAAAATCCATCCGGGAAGATTCATACGTCAGATTCCCGATCCATCCATTCCTAACATCCTTAAATATTATATACTACAATGTATTAAAGTTTGGTGACAATCCAATGGTCGGATAGTCGAATCATATAATAACCAAGTGGCGGCCCTTAACTGAAATACAACCAAACAACATAATTTCATCAATTGGATGTCTAATATGGAAATCGGGGCACCCATTTTAGCCTAGGGAGGTCAAGTGGTGTGTCTGCCTGTGTGCCGCCGCTCGGGCCGTTGGCCGTCCCGACTCGCCGGAAAAATAAACTATTTCTGAAAATTACCAAATTTCACAGAAATGAAGATCTCAACGATTTGAGCAAGTTTTATACTTGTGGCCAAGTCGAATTTGGCCGGGAAAGGCCTCAAATCGTCCTCGAACCGCCGGAAACCCGAGAAATGGTGGGATTCGATTCGACTCCATTGATGTTCCGATGCCTCTGCTAGTGCTTGGGCCTTGCTCCTGGGCTCAATGGGAGTCAATTGGAGGTGGTGGTTGAAGGAAATCGTTGCAGAAAATGCGGATTCGCCGCCATGCACCCGCGAACCCGTACGATTCTTTCTTTGCGATATGGGGTCAAAACCCCACCAATCTTGGGTTTAAAATGGAGAGGGGATGATGGTGATTGATTTATAGGTGGTGGCGAACCTTAGATCGCCGAAAAAAGGCCAGAAAAAATGATGGAAAAGTCGCCGGGTTCCATGGGTCAGTGGGGAAGAAACAGGTCATGACCCGGGTCAAAGGGATCTGGTTCCTCTACTTTCTCCTTTCCCCTCCTTTCTCTCTTCTTTGGTTGGTCACTCTCTCTTACTCTTCTTTCTAGTTGGGCAGCAGCCGCCTCTGCTTTCTCCGTTTTTTTCTTCTTCTTTTTTTCGGTCCAATAATCTCTCTTCCCTCATTTCTCACAAATCCATTTTTAAAATAATAATATAACAAATAGGAGAAATATATCAAATAACAAATAGTAATCTTTACAAAAGTACTTTTCGGATTTGTGGTTCCGTAAAACCTTTGTCGTAGTTCCGATTTCAATTCTGCTTGCGTCTACACATTCTCACCGTCGAGTACTTCTGGAATACGGTAAAGTAATAGTTCATACACGTCATGAACTAACGGTCAACGAAAGTTAATATCCTCGCACCGCCACATACGATGGTTAATCAAGGTGGTTCTTGGGTGGGTTTTGTAAAGGGGAGTGAGAGCTTTAAATGGTGGTGGTGGTGTCGAAAAACTCCACCGTAGTTGGTTGGAATCTGCGTCGGAAAATGGGAGGTTGCTGGGGTCAATTGGGTGGGTTTCTGGGCTTTTGGGTCAGGTTTCCAAAAATGGAAATTTGCTACTTTTGGCAGATTAGGCTTTGGCAACTTATTACTAATAGTAAGTCCACATGTCTAAAAGGTCTCGCTACTTTCGAGGCTAGTAGCTTCTCTGTAAAAATTTATCGAGACGGGTTGTCACACTCCTCAAAATACTTTGTTGCTTGCTCACAAATTTTTGTGTTTATGATTGAAACCGTTTATATTATAAGACACTATGTAAAGATCATCTTTATAAAAAATCAATTAAAACTAAGATCATTTGGTCAATCTTTAAAGAGTTCTGATTATAAATACGAAGTTCTGTGAATAAGTCACGTGGTATCTTAAGCGGGAGTTGCTCCTCAATTCTTAAGGAGCCAAGTCTTTCTTTTTAAAAAATACATTTTCTTATTTTTGGTTTAAATTTTTATTTTATCCCTCAACTTAATTGAAAAGTTGACGGAGTTAACGAAAATGACTACTTGTGGAATAAATGACATAGTTCGAGAACGAGAGAAACTATTAGTAGATTCATATTATTCATCCCTTATCTTGTTCTCTAAAACTACTAAAAATGCAAACCAATAGGCCTATATTCAGATTAAAAAACCTAAATCAAATTTACTTAATACCATTCATCATCTAACGGTTAAGTATGCAAACTAACGATGAATGTATAAAATAAAAGGAAAACTAATGAAAATGGCTTGAAAACTTTGAGTTTTAATGATAAGGACAAAATAAAGGGTAAAGTGAATAGTACCAGGATTGATTTTTTAATGTAAAAATGTGGTTTTTCGTTAAAGTGAACAGTATCATGTGTTTTTCGTTAAAGTTCCCTAAAATAAATGCATGCATGTGTACAGTAACCAGTTTTCTAATGTAAAACGTTTTATGACTACAGTCGAGGTTATTTGTTCGACTCTCTTGGTTCGTTGTACAAAGAAAGGGCAATAATATCCAAAAACCCATCAAACTAACTCTAAAGTCTAGAAAATTTGATGAAGTGGTACTGTTGACAATTTAGAGTGGAAGCAAAGTTGAGTCAAGATTACTCATCAGCCCAATCCCAGTCTTGTAGGGCTTAGGAGCTTAATTATGGACTGGACACGAGTCATCTCCAAATTCACAAAACCTGAAGCAAAAGGACCAAAAAAAAAAAATAGAGAGAAGAAAAGTGTTTCGGACCTCTCTGAGTTTCTTGTCAAGTCTTGAAAGCAGGTTAATCTTTGAAAAGTGACAAGATAAAACCTTTTTTTGGGACCCTAGAGCACTAATTGTTGTTTAAAGTTTAAACACATGCTAAATTTGTGAAGCACGCATAACACACAAGTCATAACTCAATCTCTTTCTCTCTTTTAGATATTTTATCAAAATTAGTTACAAGAACTCTGCTTTCAGCCTAGTTGAATTTCAAAGCTTATACATAAAATTCATTTCTCAATAAGGATATGGGGTATGCCATCCTACCTTTATCAAAGAACGGATAGAACTTGCTATAACGGATGCAGGAAAACCCTAGCTTCTGATATGAAATTCAGATTAAAAGTTGTTGTTAGGACAAGTAAATGAGGCAAACCCTAGTTTTTTCTAAAGCTATACAGAGTATTTAAGAATAGGATTCGATAAAGTGTGCAAGAGCTTTCACTTTCTACTTAATTAATAACGCGCTTCCATTGTTTGTTTTTAATGTGAAGTAATGGTGTAAAAATAAAGTAGATGAGATGAGATGAGTAGTAGGGCAAAATCTTCAATAAAGTCATCTCACGACATGAATGATCTTAACAACCTCACAAAAGTATGTGACCC